CGTAATCACTGGGTATGCCTATTACCGGAATGTCGGGGGATGTTTGCTTGTTATCTCGATATTTACTTAGAAAAGATTAATCAAGGGAATTAAAGTGTGTATTTGATTCAGTCTCGGGTCTTGTTGCTGAAATCTTCCAAGAAACACGGAGAATATGGTGGCTATAGACGTCAACTTTGAGATGAGAGAGCTTATCGAGCGCCTTTATCCTCACTTTCAACTCCCTGGCAACCTACGAAGCTATAATATTTGCTTAAAGAACACTTTGTTTTCAAATTAGAACTGGAAGTGTGACCTTTGACAGAGCCACTCGTTACATTCTTGTTAAGCAAGCACACCCATCAATCCGGCAGTCATGACAAATATCCAGAGAGCATGAAAATGGTTTGGGACAGCTTTTATATTAAAAACCGAAAATCCCCGAACCATTCAAATAAATAGCAAATATTTCATCTCTCCTCCGACTTTTTGCATCATCAACTTCCCACCACAGCCATAGCCCCTTTCGCATAAAGTTGACAAATACGGCTACACTTTTTCTTGCTCTACCCTCCACTTCATCCTCATTTCATTTTCTTACTTACTTCCCTCCCAGGCTCCTCTTTTTTATCTTACACCACATAATTCTGGCTATTTTTCGTTATCAAAACAGAATAGGATACACTCTCTATGTACACAGGGCCATGTTGTCTCGATGAATAATATTCAAGCGAGAGAAAACCACCGAGCGTTCCATCAAGACCTCATGAGGAGGACCTCCCGCCGCCCCCAAAGCGTGGGTGGGATATTTAAGCCTCACACACACACGCCCGATATGTATCTCCAGTGCGTCTCACCTCACAAGAGTCATCTCCACTTAAAGAGCTTATGAGTGGTCGGCTTGGAGTGAAAAATAGATATTTTATTCATGAATTTATGCACTCATCCTCCCAGAGAGCTTTCAATCTCCTCAACATCACACTCTCCGCACAAACTCTCTGTGTGGCGCAGAGGAGATCTATGAATCTCTTGTATAGTTTGGTGGCTCCTCTCGTTCCAACTCAGGGCCTCCAATTTGATGGGAATAATGGATATGGGTAGTTGAGGATGGGACACCGAGTGAAGCAAGAGGAATGTGTAAATTGTGTTCATAGCTGAGATTCTCCATGGAATGCTACATTTTCCCTACTTCAAGAAAGGCGAAGAGAGAGAAAAAAAGCTCAATTTTCAATCAGGGACGAACTCATCCTGTGCAAACATCCATATTGCCTCAAGGGCATCGTCAGAAATCACACATAATTCTTTAATATCGCAGCGTCACAAGAAGATTTCATTACCAAAGGATCAAGATACTCGCTCTGCAACTACAACCAAATTGGCTAATCTGAGCCAACGATTCACCGACTTCGACTCTGACTTTCTTCCCGCATTTCTCGTTTTTAAGGCATTTTTCCATCTATCTTGCTACATACATATTCCGATATTTTGTATAGAAAAATTCTCCGCAGGGTCGTCTATAGAGTTACATGAGTGTGACTCAACATATCTTGTAAGTTGATTCTGAACATTCGCTTGCTCCTGAAGGAGCAATTTCCCCCCAGATTCCCACATGGCGTCGACAAGGACTCTCTCTCCGCAGTTGGATAAGACGGGCGGATTGAAAAAGAGAGAAGAAGGAGCGAAATGTGGAGTGAAAAAGCAAATTCACTTCGTGGCGGAATGTGTAATCGCAAAATAGAACCCCATTATTACGATTTATGTTATCCTAGCTTAATTAAGATTATTTACAAGAAGTGTAATCTCGCCTGGGAGATCACTATACACTTCATAGTAGATGAAAAAATATTTGCCGACATCTGGGTCGACTCGCAAACTCTCAGTCACGGCGAAAGTCTACTGAAAGTGTTAGAATTCTGGCAAATATATTACAGAATGATAAAAGTTACTGCGAAAATTCTCACATACAAAGTGATTTGTATTCTTCAAGATTCACTTTCCAAGACGGAAAAATTGCACACCAATCTGTAGATAAACTCGTAAAGTGAAGGAAAAACTATACTGAGAGCGTAACAGCTTAGTTTTCCCTGGGCAGATCATTATATAGATATTCTCCTTATGATGACTGTTGGACATTTATACACTAACTTCTACCATTTAATACTTTTCCATGTGTCTATCAGCATTCTCATATCCACCAGTGTGGCCTGAGCAAACGTGCTGAAAGCTCTCTCAAGCTCGTCCCCATACAATTCAATTGAATTGAATTTTCTTCCTTTCTCCTCTTTCCAACTCAATTCATGAACTGATATGACTTTTATTAGACGGAGCAATCTGATATTATTTTATTTATAGGACTTTTCGGTTCCACAGTCACCCTCTTGGCTGAAGATCCCTTTCTTTTCCACACTTGCTATTTTTCTACTCCATGAAAGTTTACCCAAACTACCCGCCTGATCTGATTCCGTTTGTTTCCATACACACACAAACACACACACACACACACAATAAATTCAATTTATCCAAACATTTTCCCATGGTTTTCATACAAAATTCAGCAGAAACTTTCACATTACAATCTTCCTGTCTTTCACGCCCATGTCAAAACTTTTATCTTGATAAAGCATTCCACAAAAGGGGACTCAAATTGATGCCCTATCTCTCTCTCTGGGTGAAAATTATGATGAAGTGCTGCCGCTCGGGGAACACTTTTCACCGGAATCAATTACGTGTGCACTTAAACTAAACTGAGAGCTCAAACCGTTTTCATTTTTCACTCGCATAATTCCAACTGAACTCTCATAAATTTCACCCCATGGTTAAATGCAATTTTGCCATTTGACAAGCTGTATGTATATAATGGGAGTTTGCAAAATAATAGAGTCCACTTTCATGTCCAGCAGTAGTCAGATGAAAATTTGTGTGGGTGACCGGACTGGGATTTGTGTGGCCCTGTGTATATTCAGATTGCATAACACTCTGTTTGTCATGTAATTTTATACAGAATCTTCCTCCCACACACATGCTTTTCCAGCACTGTTTGTGCCATCCTCAATTTCAGATTGAATAACTATCTCCCTTCCGTCACCAGCCAAACGCATTTGACCATACCATCTCCGGGGTCACTCACCCACCAAAGGACACAAGATATCGTCCCACCATTTTCCTCACATGCACAAAGTCCTGGCAGCAACTCTTGCATTCACTCACGCTCTCCCTTAAGTTAGATGTGGTGCTGTTGGGCTCTGGAATGGGAGTTATTCTCATGAATCACTGGAAATTGCATTCTTCTTACGATACGATTTATGATGAAATGTTGTGTAGAAATAAAAGTTTGACTTTAGAATATCCAATAATTGTCATACACAGTGTAACTTCATTTCTCGAATATTCTCTCCCAGTTTGATGACTCTAAAATTCACGTTTTTGTGTCCACTTCCGAATGTACACTTCCGCAAAAAAAACATATCCAGTGGAGATTCCCAGCTTGAGAGCTCCAGCAATCAAAAATGCACCAGCACTCGAGCTGCTAAAGTGCAACACATCCCATCTGGGTGTGCAATGCACTTAATTGAATAAACATCTGAAATGTATGTGATCATTTTCGACAAACTGCACCCATACGGTCGTCCCAGTATTTGTGGATGCTCAATTCGCGAATGCGCGTTTGCATATTTTATCCAAATTTATATTCAATGAATGTATTCAAAATCACGAAAGTGGTGTCAAACCTAAAGCGATATAGTGCAGTGATAGAGCTTTTCATCCACTACATTTCATTAAACATTCCCGAGCACTTTTTCCGACGCAGCTTTTAATTTGTTGTGGGCATTTACGCCATGCATATTTAACCCGTGCATTGTGCAAAGCTTTTAATTGCTGGTAAATCATAATATGTTTAACGCGGATAAAAGCATGTGGGAGGAGAATTTGTGAGCCAATTTCAGCAGCGCCTTTTTTTAATATGAATCACTCCGAGGCAATGCGGAAGGGTGTGTTCTTGAGAAGTGAATTTCAGAATGTAAAATATATATGAGGCCTAATACATGGATATCGAGGAAGTGAATCTTTTTATTCCGCCGCTCTCTTGTGCTACTCATTCATGGATGGTCTGGCGTAAGCGCAAAAAGAGATACATAACATTGGATAAATGGGAAACCTTTCATACGTTTACAGAGAAAATTTTCGATCCTTCATGAATCCATCCTTTTATGAGGCCGTTCTTGACGCTTTATGTTCTTGAATGTATGTGGTGCGGCAACATTTTCCGCTTCTCCAGATTAGATTCCCAGGTTTTATGGGCAACACGGAAAGCGTTATATGAGTTTACCCGGATGATGAATAGAATGGCTCCGGGACTAAATCAATATATTAATAGTATGGGTTCAGATGGTAGAAGGCTAAGCGGGTGGGAACGAGGCTGTGTGGAGAGAGCGTTCACACATATACAAAGATAATGGATTAAACATTAATATCAATTAGATGACTATCCTGTTTTTGACATCATACACATTCACATCAATTGCACGGTGATTTATGTAAATTTAATACCAAAATGAGATGTACTTTGCGTATGTGTGAGTAATCAAAAGTTAATCAATCAATCCTCTCAAGTGAAATCAATATTGTGCCACTTTGTGCACACGAAATATTGTGTAAAAAAATATATATATTTTTGCCATCATGCAAAATGCTGCCAAAAATAGATCCTCTTTTTCGCATGGTCGCTAAAATTTTCATATAATGCATAACGCCACCACATGGTGCTTTTAAATCGAACCCAGTTGATGTGTCCATCAATATCTAAAATGTCACATATCCAATTTACTACCCCTGGTGATATGGATGATAATACGACAAAATCCCAGTTGTTTGGCATGTAATTTGGAATGCACTCGCATCCAATTCCCGTTGCGTACATAAATTGCCAATGTGCGAGTGCGAGGGGATGAAGTATTCTTTCTATGTAATTTCCAGATTTCCTCTGTGCAACACAGAGCATTATAATGGGGGATGGCGGTGCAATGCAAGTCCCATCGTTCCTGCAAGAACCATCGTCGAGGCTTATGTTCAGCAACGATACCGGCTCTCAGATTTCGTGTTCCGCACACGGAAATCCTCCAGCAATTGTTACATGGCTCCATAAAGATGGATCGGTGGTGAATGCGGTGCCCGGATTAAGGTAAGTGCAATGAATCAATAATCATTTTCCGAGAGAGCACTCCATCGTCTTGTGTTCCCAGGGTAAGCATCATAATGCTCCTCGTTTCCCACAGACTTTCTCTCTCTCTCTCCCTCTTCCCCACGAAAAGAGTACAGAGTGTGCATACAAATGGAAAATAATGTTGCGACATATCAATTCACATTTGCATAATACGCACCTCGTGCTATATTGCGATTTCCATGCAGATTCGCCGCTCTGAATTTCTCACCCTATATACCACGTGCATGCAATTTTACATCCTCAGCAACTATGAGCCCGGGTTCGTGGGTGTTATTAATCACCACCTGACAAACATTCATGTGTACCCCACTGACATTATGCAGACTTTGCATTTGGTATTTCCCTTTGCTCAATGCAATCGCATGCATGCTCGTCGCATTGTCGCATGCAAGATTTAGATGTGCTCCAAACACTTCTCCGCAGACTCATTCCGAAGGAGATTCGCTCACGTAAAGTCTGAAATTCGATGAGAAATCCTCCTCAAGCACTTGACTAAACCAATAAATCTTAATCTCGCACGTTTAACTGAACATGGCATTAGAATTTACTGGGCATAACCAGGATTTCAGCAAAGGCAGCAGAGTTCAAAAATAATCGCTATAAATTCATTTAGTTTAACGGCATTGCAAGCGACGGCATTACAAAATAATTTCGCCTATTTTGCACTGAAAGCGCTAAAATATTCTGTATACTACAATAATTTTCATAAGTTCTGTCGCGATTTCTGACTTGAACTTAACATCGGAAACTTTGTTGCTTCACCACCTCCAAAGTTCACTTTGCCAGAGAAATTCCGCCAACATTTTCAACACTCTCGCTTCACCCCATTATAAGTTCCTTCACAATAGCAAAACCAATCAAATTGAAACCGTGATTTTAGCCATGCGATGAATACCTATGCCCATTGACATGGAAAGAGCAAGCAACATTGTGTGAGAATTATGTTACATTTTAATGATGTACTTACTGCATGTTGATATACTTGATATAAACTACACTTCCTGACATATGACTTTTGCTGTCTGCACGTAATGTATGTTGCAGAAAAATTCATTTGAAAAATGAAATGGTATGCTTTGCACACCAGCAGCAAAAAAGTCGAGCTCTGGGAAATCTGCATAAAATAGAAAATACAAATCTCAAGATATTATGTGAGGATATGAAGAAGAAAATATGTGATGCACGGGCGCCCAGGGGAGTTGGGGCGCTGATGTGTTGCGGAGGGTGAGAGTGGGAAAAGTTGTTGAAAAGAATATGAAGAGAGCGAGCATGTTTTATATTTCTTGCCAGCGAATGAATAGAGAAGTGTCTGGGGTAGTACTAAATGCATGCAATGGAACAAGACTGCTAACACTCAACCATACTTTATCAGACACAGAATAACTATACATTGTGCGGATTGTACTCAGTTTACATTCAAAATCTGCTCTGGCGATGAGACGGGGGAGTGAAGTAGGAGCTTTTAATTAAATATGAAATTAATGAAGTGTCGGGTGGTTCATGCTTTTTCGACTTTTGCCTGAACACATAGAGGAATGGCAAGAGAAATATTTTGAATATCCTGTCAGGGGGAGGAACTCTCATTTGATGTTTCCAAACACTCAATAGTTGAATTAATTATTTGCCTGGAATTTATTGGGGAATGAGGTTTGGACGAATTTATTTCGTGAGAGAGGCATATAAGCAACTATATATATCGTAAATTCATCACACACTTTATCTGACACTATGAACCTGGCAATAGACATGACAGTGTGAGAGATACACAAGCTCCAATATAAATCTTGAGCGAAACTCTCAGTGTTTAATCCACCCCCTCCTGACACTCACGACAGAACGTTGAGAACGTAAGGGCAATATTAAATATACCCCAAACCCCGCTTATGTTGCCTGTATATAAAAAGAGCACCGATTCATTCTGATTTCGCCCGGGGCAATTTCAGCCATAGCAATGGCTTGTACATCGTCCTGACTGCCCTCTCCTCTTTCACAGGCAGACACCAGGAAATGGAACACTGTACTTTCCACCGTTCCTTGGCCAGTACTATCGTGCTGATGTCCACGATGAGATTTACCGATGTCGTGCCAGCAACAAGGCCGGAACAATCCTCAGCCGATCCGTGCACGTTCACGCAGGTATATTCACCTTCTCTTGTGCAAACTTTCATGCGAATCCCGGCAGCTCGAATAACAGAAATCATGCTAATGTTGTGTAGCCTTTCAAAATTTCACAACTCACTCTCTTGCAGTTGCAAGGCAGCACTACGATATCCGAGTGGATGGGAAGGATGTGATTCTGGGCAACACTGCATTCCTTCACTGCCATATCCCCGAACACGTTCGTGATTATGTATCAGTGACTTCTTGGTATCGCGGAGATGAAGTCTTACTTCCAGAGCTATCTGACGTGGGTGAGTAGATTGTTTCTATTCATATCATCTCTGCCGCTATGCATGCTATGTATAGAGGAATAATCCTCTCTCTCTATATTTCCCGCAAAAGTAATTCCGGATCGTCGTAATCAATATTCGATACTAAGAGGATAGAGAGAAAGCCAATGAAGCACTATATGCGAAAAGAAGTCTTTCACAGAAAATATATAGCGCGCCGTAAATGTAACAGTTTCCATGAAACTTTTGAATACCCACCATATTCATTAAAAATGCTCCGATTACACTGCTACAGAGCTATTCCACTTTCATACTTCAAATTATTCATTGCACTTCATAGCAAAATGAGAGCGGAAATTTCTTCACAAATTACGGATTGTTGAAATTAACAGGAAAAAACCCCTTCCGGAAGACTAACTCATAGGATTCATCGCGTGTATTGAGAATGATCTGAAAAAAATGAATATTCGACCCTGAAACTTGCCTAACTTAATATTTAATTGACTACAGGAACCCTTTATCGCAAAAATTAATCGGACTCATGAATGGGCGCTCCAAGAAGGGTACATTTTGTGAAGAAAAAAGACTTCCGGGTATTGAAAGCTTTATAAATCCCGATGGAGGAAATTTTACGTCGAATAAAGCCAATAAATTGGGAAAGTGTGTTCAAAGTGGAAAGTTCACTGAGAGCTTTTCCGGCGAGAATTCTTATATTTTATCTCAATACATTCCATTAAATATTAAATAGCCAAAATTTCATCACTGTGCTTGCAGTATTGCGACATGAGCCTGTTAAATAAAGAATTATTATATTCGTTCCTCTCGTGGCAATAGCCTAAAATAATTCATAACAAATTGGAATCTATGAGATTTCCTCTCATGTGAAGCCAAATTGTCTCTGTGAATGAACTAAAAGATCCTCTATATATGTATTTCCGGCAAAATCACACTTGCTTTTTCACAAAATCTTTTCATGTGATATTCTTTGTCACAACATTTCCTCCAACCATGAAACAATGTTTGGAACAACCTTTTGAGCTGTTATGCAAACTTCAATGGCCAATTATTCAAATTTTGCTGTGGATTGATTGGAAGAATGCAATATGACAAAGATGGAATATGGAGTGAAGAATTTGAATCGAGACAAGAGGGGGAAAAATACACAACTTCAACATGGCATATGTGATGAAATTCGTTTAGAATTGGAAGTTCATTGAGAGCAACCCGAATATTGCGCCATCCATCCTTTCCTCCATGGATGCACTCATGCCATAGCATGTTGTCTCTTAATTCGTCTTTACGGCTGAATAACTATTGAGGCAATTCGCCAAAGGATATTGCGAGGGATCTATTCAATGGACAGCCATTTATTATGAAATATGAGGATGGATCTAGAGGAAGTGATTCTGTTTATTGTGTAGTGTGGCATATTCCGCATTCAGGGCACATAAAACCCGTTGCATTTAGGAAGCCATGTGAAATGCATATTGCGCTGTGGTTTTCCCACACAGAAGGATGTCTCAGGAAGAATTGTTCTCTATGTGCACACGCCTGTTTCCCTTGCGGAGTATGTACATGGAGATGCGCACGAATTTCAATTTGCATTTAAATCAATCAATACTCTTATCTTTTGAAACTGAAGCGTCTGAGTGAATCCATCATTACGAAAGTTGCTGCTTTTGTAAATGGCAGCATAACAAGATGGGAAGTTTTGAATGGCAGTGAATTGAATGATGATTTAATGGCGCTTATACGGGCACGTCAATTTCATTGCTATGTGCAGAAATATTTTTCAAAATGTTTGCATATCGTATAAGTTCAATAATTGATATATTCGGCACTGAATTACTCATTACTCATTGAATTGTGAATGCAAGTCTTATCGCATAGTTTCCAAGCACATAAAAGCTTTAGTTCTCTGCCCATTGCCATGGCATTTAAGCTTTATGTGGAAAATGAAAAAGGGTTTTCTCTCTTTCGCAAGGGCACAGCTCCATTTAATGAGTTCTGTATGAATCAACATAATGGAAAGACTGATAGCACACAAAACTCATGAGATGCTCTTATAACTTATGACCTAATGCGGTTGCACTCTCTGAACTTGTGTGCAGTGTATTTTAATGCTTTCACTGTAAACCACACTGCAACAAAGGATTTTATCATGGGGAAACCGAAACCCCAATGAATGATTATATGCAGTTAAACTTTAAAGTTTGGCACAAAAATACTTTCGGTGTCCATAGAGATAAGTCGTGAACTTTTGCATTTTCAGGTGGTCGTTACTCAGTGACTTTAGGATCAAATGATCTCCATATACGATCTGTTAGATCGGAGGATGGCCTAAAAGAATTTTCTTGCTTAACCGTCAATTCGCTAACTGGGGAACGGAAGCTCAGTGATCCGATATTTATATCCATTAAAGGTAAGTGGCAGCCAACTACTTAATTTACTTCACGTGTCCACTGACAATCACATTGATAATTTAAACTTTTTTCACAATCCAAATTTATACTAAGTGAGATTTCTGGTATTCATTACCCAATTTTCATTCCATCCCTCTTTCTCTCTCTCGCTTGTGACACTTTTGCAGAAATTTCATCGAATATGGCGCCACAAACTAATCAAAAATCAATAACGGAAATTCACGTTGACCGGGGCAATGATATTCACCTGCCCTGCAATGTGCGCGGAAATCCCATTCCCATTTTCACGTAGGTATCCAGAGTCCTGGAGTAGAGATAAATTGTGGTGGGGCTCAATTAGTGTTTTCATCAACTACTTAAGTTAATTGCCATTATTTTCCCGTTGCCACCCTCATCTCCCAGGTGGTTTCGCGTAACAGATTCCGGAGCACTGTACCCACTGCCAACATCCCAACGAATCATTCCCTCGCAATCGATTTTGCTGCTCAAGAACTCGGACGAACGTGATTCCGGAAGATGGGTAAGAAACTATTCATGGGGAAATTTCATATCGAATGAATCCTTAATGGTGTTATTGATTCCTCTGGGTCTTTGTCATTGTCACCAGATCTGCAAGGCGTCTAATCAATTTGGGGACCAAAAGTTGGAGATACGTTTATTCGTCAATTCATATCTAGCCATTCATATTCATCCCCAAGCGCAGACCATCAACTCGGGCGCCACGGCAATTTTCAATTGTTCCATCGTGGGCTCTCCAATTGACAAAATTGAGTGGTTCCATGATGGAAAACCAATTGTGCAAGACACCCAGGGAAGGTAAGTGATGAAAAGTGTGACACAGGTTCCTTTTTCATCCCGCCATCGTCAGTGTTGGCGGGATATTAATCACCCTCCCATAGAGCCCAGAACGATGATGATGATGAAAATACAATAGCAAATGTCCCCAAATTAATCACACGATATTTTTATCTCTCACCCTATCGCCACGGCGTGCAATCACTATACATATATGTAGGGTAAAGCTGTTGTCACCCATCTCCCTGGCGGTTTCACAAGTGGGACGCGAGGACAGGGGTATTTATCAATGTATGGTGTCCAACAAAAAAAGCAGCGCCCAGGGAATAGCAGAACTCAAGTTGGGCGGTAAGTATATTAAATTCAACTGTGTATCGCTGCACAAACTCTCTATTTAATGAAATTTCGTATTCCACTTCCGGTTGGAGTTTCGAATTCAATTGAATAAATTTGAATTTCTGCCCTCGTCTCTACGTTCTCAATAATTCAACTCTAAGCCACTCACTGGCTTGTATCTCCAGCGAGATACAAATAAATTTCACTTTTTCCTTTATTCATTCAGCAAATGCTTTTAAGATTTTAGGCATTGAATACACCATGTTGTGTATTACTAATAAAAAGGGACTAAGATTTTTTTCATGAATAAATAAACCCAACTTCAGCTCCTCTCTTATCAATTTCAATCCACTTTTCGCCTACAATCTGGCTGATATTTCCCACGCTCGAAAAAATCACCGGGGAAAATTTAATTCTCAAATTTACATCATTTGTACAGAAATTAGCAAAGTTTCATCTGCCAATGAGCAGAATAGTCTCTTCTCGCTAATGATTTAATCCGCACATCCGATGATATTTCATTCGGGATGCTCTAATTACTTTTCCATTATCAAACCAAAATGATAATGACGTCATTTATTGAAATATTAAGGTTCCGTCTGTACACACTGTCCTGAGATAAATTCCAAAACACTATGTTGCTATATACTATCCTTGGGTGGTTGAATAAATATTATATCATTTCCCTACAGACACAGTTCCTGAACTAATTTATACGTTCATTGAGCAAAATGTCCGTCCGGGACCGCACATTTCTTTGAAATGCTCCGCCACAGGATCCCCTCCACCGCAGGTAACTACAATCACTTCAATATGTGTAACCCTTGTCCCAACTCTGTGTTTGCCTCCTTGAATGCAACGAACGTGTGCAGCTCAGGCAACAGAATTAGCAAACTATCCATTCAATTCCATTAAACAATACAATCAGCTAATATTGTATTCCTTTTGTCAGTTGTAATCAATGCCAGTATGTGTAATATATTATGTAACGCCTGAGCCTACATGCCCCCAACAACCCTAATACTCCATCACATGGCTCGACCTCCCCTACGGAATACCGCCTTAATTTATTTTGTCCCTCTCGTCTCTGTCTCTCTCCCGTATGGATTCTCCGCTGTGCGAATGCGAACAGTTCACCTGGCTGCTGGACTCTGAGCCAATATTGGATGTGTCATCATTGCATCGATACGCCATCGGGCAGTTTGTTGATATAACCGGCGATGTAATAAGTCATTTGAATATATCACATGTCCGGACCGACGATGGAGGACTCTACAAATGCATCGCCGCAAATTCCATTGGGAGTGTTTCACATGCATCCCGATTAAATGTTTATGGTATGCTATCGAGCGGAGAATTAATGCCCATAGTCAGTCTTATCTCTTTAACCCTCACACCCTTCGCAAATCCATCCAACATATCCAACATCTCACTCGCCGTCATATTCACTTTTCCATCATTGCATGCGTATAATTTTACCATCTGTAATTTATTCAAATGCCTTCGAAATTAGAACCATTGTATGCACTCGCTACTGAGTGCAACCATTAAATAAATCAGGACACATTTGTGTACATATGTATCTAAAAGACCACATTACGGTCAAACAGGACAAATCACCCCTGATAAGCACACACTATTAATAATAAGGAATACCATTAAACTATATGTGCTAATTTATAGTGAATATTTGAGTGGGAAACATTACCCGCAGTGGCAAAATGTATCTCCTGACACAATTGCACAATGGAATCAATATGCATGAGAACAAGCACAAGATCAATTTGGGAAATACATTTCGCTGCTCTGGGTCAATCTATGCAGCTGCATAAATGCATAGCGCACCCCAGAGACGAACTGCAACTACTGGAATTCTCCCAATCGAAGAAACTTGTTTTATCAGCATAATCCTCGGCAATCAATCCAAAGTGCAATAGACGAGGAGAGGAAGTCAAGGGGAAACATTTTTCACTTCCGATGGGAAATTTAAAATTGAGAAAATTACATAGAATGAAGATATATATACAATTGAACGAAATTCATGTCCATCGCATTGATGTTTGGCACAAGTATTCTGCAAATGATGTTTCTTGCTCGCAATACAATTTACATATTTTAAAATGACAGAATAAGGAAAAATATCCACTGTGTACTCACAGTATAAAAGATCCGCAGTTCAAGAAAAAAGCAAATTTGCATTTCGCTCAGTACTTTCCCATCATGTTTAGGGCACAGCAATGGTGGAAACTCTCAGTAATGAAAGCCACAATTTACACAAACTCAAGTGGATTTGAATAGCTCTCGTGGGACTCAGTGATTACAGTATCACTGGCATTTATTGAGCTTTGATAAAAATAGAACCCGGAAAATGTGGAGTGCTGTGTAAATACTTTGTCCTCTCTTGCGAAATTATAATTCATATTTGCATAAGCATGACCATCATACTCAGCTCAGGAGCAAACACACATAAATATCTCACTGTCTGTCATGTCCGTCGTCGTTGCATGATATCCGAACTCATTTGAATCCTCATTTCCCAGGAATTAATCAATTTCCCTGTGATTTAGGGCCACCGTACATTCGGACAAGTGGACTTAAGCAATTACTGGCGGGGACTGACGTTATCATCCACTGTCCCTACTCTGGTTATCCGATTGAATCAATCAGGTGGAGGCTGGCAGGGCAAGAAATAATTCCCAGTGAGTATCTTGAGCCTAAGGAAGATGGATGGCGGGGATTTACTAATGGACCACATGCCAAGTCAGATTCACGCTACACTGTGGCCAGTGTCCAGGAGGGTGGATTTCTCAAGATAAATCAAGTGGATTCAGCTCACGATGCCGGCGTTTACACGTGCATCGTTCGCAGTCGATCCGGCGAGGAGGCTCGTCGGGATTTGCAGGTGGTCATCAAAAGCCCACCTGTTATCGAGCCATTCACCTTCCCCAAGAACCTTCAGGAGGGTGGGCGGGCGCAGCTGTCCTGTATTGTCTCGTCTGGAGATATGCCAGTGTTCTTCAGCTGGCAAAAGGACGGCGCTCCAGTGCCCATCAGCCTTCAAGTGACTGAGAAGAAGGAGGACTTCTTCAGCATCCTGGTATTCAAGGACCTCACAGATCGACACAGCGGTCGATATGCTTGCTTCGCCACAAATTCAGCGGCCAAAGTGAATTACACAGCACAACTCAATGTCCGCGGTGAGTGAAGATTTTTTTTTCCACTCAAATTTCCGGCATAAGGAATTGAATGTGCAATCTCACTATTAGTGCCACCGCATTGGAGACAGGAACCGAGTGACATGGCTGTAATGCTGGGCAATCCAATTTCTCTGCGGTGTGAGGCTGGCGGATTTCCAGAGCCAACCATTTCCTGGTTCAAAGGACAAGGTGAGTGCAATGATTTCCGATTTCGTTGATCTTTTCGTTTTGAATTCACCAACATTTTTTGCTCTTTCACATTCCAATAAAATCGAACACATTTTATTGAAGTGTTATGGCAAAAAATTCGCAGCAATTTGCCATAGTGTATTATCTCGCTGTGTTAGAATGTGAGAAATGCGATGAAGGAAGTGGAGGAATTCTCTGTAACTTTTGCTTGAGAGCATGCACCTTTTATCCACCATCACAGTCTTTTTCCATCACAATGAGCCTCTTTATGCCGTGTCGGCTTTAATATAAATGCAGCATTTATATTAAAGCTAGTCCGACATGGACTTAAAAGTCGGCTCAAATTGCGCGGTGGCGCATGCGTGTGGGCTGTCAAATTCTCACACACATCTTCACTGAACGTCATTCGTGACTGCGCGTCGCGTTGCAACATGATTCGATTTCAGTTTAAGCGCGTGTGTCCCGGTATCAACGCCATGGACTAAAATAAAGCCGAATATTGTTAAATGCTACTTTAATGATAAATTTAGCATTTAACTTGGCCCGGCATAAAGAGGCTCAATGTTATCCCAGTATTATGGTCATAAGCAGGATTTATATTTATCTTCTCTCCTTTCTATTTTCACTATTTACCACCAATGACGTCCTGTGTCGTGTGGATTTTGATAATGCCTGGCCGAATCTGCTAACGTGTGAAATGAAATAAATAGGAAAAATGTCACAGGACTTCCATTTAATTCCATTGAAAAATAACACACTCACTGTGGATTTTGCCACATCAGACGATGAAGGGTATTACATGTGTCTAGCGAAAAATGATATCGGTTCTGGACTGAAGAAGGTTATCCGCGTCAATGTTAATGGTAAGAAGATGAATTTCTCCCACGCACACTAAACATTCCGCCCAACATCCAAAACATGGGTACGCACACACATCCTCTTGCTCCAATTCCTCCAAACTATCATACATGCTGTGTTCCAATTAAACTGCCACTCCCACTGCCTTCTTCGGCACATTGATCAAAATGAAGAGAAATGTCTCACCCGCTCTTCTCACTCTCGCAGAGCCCGTGAGGTTTGAGTACGCCTTGAAAAATGTTTCATCCCGACGCAACGATCCGGTCACACTTAGTTGTATAGCTATAGGGGACGAACCCGTGAGTGTTGTGTGGTCCCACAACTCTGCCAGAATAGATCTCAATAATTATCGGTGAGTGATGGATGTTGGGGCAGTGCCTGAAAAATTTGGGCGCAACCGCACGAATAACTCGGATTTCTCCCGGTACCTTATTCTAAAATGCTATTTCAATTACTTCCCGACAGATTAAATATAGCGGAAATAAAGACTGACAATGGAGTGAACTCCCAACTCTCAATAAGCCGCACGGACCGGCATGATTCAGGGAAATATAAATGTATTGCGGAAAATCCCTTTGGCCGAAGTGAGCACACCATCTTCCTCGCTGTACAAGGTACATATGTACACATTTACAAACATTACAAAGGGAATTATTCATCGGATGCTACACAGTAAGGAGCTTTTTTACCCGGAGTATCCATAACATCCATATTATATTTCACAGAGCGACCGGATGCTCCTTCAAATCTCGAGGTGGTTGAGGTCAAAAGTCGCACCGTGAAGCTGTCTTGGAGGCGACCTTTTGATGGAAATAGCCCTGTTCTCAGTTACTTGGTTCAGTACCAACCCGTAAAATCTCTTCATAATCTCCCACCCACCGTCCATACCACGGAAGCAGAATGGAATACAGGTATGAGCTCTGAGGGTTTGTCTTACTTTGCAGTCACTGAAATATTTCAGATTTGTCTGAGGTGTCCTCAGGCGAAAAGTTAGCCTTTGAATCAAACTCAAACACAACTGCTTAATATGTATCTCTCTGCTTGCTCGTCAAACTTTTCCTCCACTGACACTGTGCGTTCTTTTTAAAATGAAAAAAAAATCGAGTAATTTGTGAAAAGTAGTCGAATGAAATTATTCTCTGTGATAGTTTGGACTCTGGTGAAAATTAAATTCGTGTCGGTACAAAAAAAAACTCATGAATCTCTAGGTACAACCGTGAATGTCTCCCTGCCAACTGTTAGCGATGCCATTACGATAGACGGTGAGCCGCGCGAGCAAGCCATCGTCGCGGGGCTTCATCCGGCCACTGCGTACCTCATCAGAATGCTGGCTATTAATGAAATTGAAAGTAGCTCCTTCACGGATGCGCTCATCATCAAGACACAGGAAGAGCCGCCCGTCGAGTCGCCCCAGAGCATTCAAGTCCTGACCGGCGGGATGGGCGAGTTAATTGTGACTTGGCAAGTGCCACCGAGGGACTCGTGGAACGGGGAGCTGCTCGGCTACATGGTCAACTACACGGAAGACAAACAGGCTATTAACTACGTGAGTTCAAGTGGCGCCACAAATAACAGCATCAAAGTTCGAGGCTGGGCGACCACAAAAACAACCATATCCGGACTGAGGATGTTTACGAGATACTTGGTGAGGGTGCAGGCGTACAATGGGGTCGCGTCAGGACCGTGGAGTCAGCCGGTTATCGGGACAACTCTCGAGGGAGGCAAGTACTCAGTCTCATCTTTTCACACGTCATACGACATTTTCTCTGTGATGCTGAATAATGAAAAGGGGAAATTTTTTCTCTTTCTCTCTCTCTCCCTTACTCGCCACCCTCGAAAACACTTCTTCGGATTTTACTGTGCGGTGCAAAAATGTATCTCTGAAAAAATATAAAACAGTTCCGGAAGCTCCACCGCAGAATGTAACGTGCTTTCCGGCGGGCTCCCAGAGTATCCGAGTGACATGGCAAGAACCTCCTCCGCAGTTCCACGGTGGCATCATTCAGGGATATAAAATCCTCTACCGTCCATTAGTGAAACAAGGTCTGTCCTCAAATATACCCATGTTTATTTTGCTCATTCCTTCGCCACTCTCCACTGTGGGTGGGAAACTTTTAACAGCTCCTCTCTCTCTCTCGACTTGCCATAATATCCAAACTTCCAATATTTGTGCGGATTTCTTCCCTTCTATCTTTCCAGTTGAATTGTCCTCAACGACTGAAGTGAAAAGGACATCGAACATGGAAACTCACTTGCACGCCCTATACAAAGCCACAAACTACTCGATACGTGTGCTGGCGTACACCAAGGGGGACGGCGTGGCCAGTGATGCCAAATATTGCTCCACCGAGGAAGATGGTACAGTTTTGCCAGTACATTTTGCTGTCTAGCCCAATGAATATTCACCCACTAGTTGTGTTTATTCTTCTGGAGCCAATAACACTTTAAGTGCTGCACATTTTCAATTTTCACCCTTCATGGATATTGCTTTGCAAATTGTATCGCAAAATCAAACAAACTCACTGTATCAATCCAATTTCAGTGCATTATTAACTAACCATTTTTAATTTGCATTTTAATTAGGATATGAAAATTAAAAGTCTGCTATGAAAACTTATTGTTTAATTATTTCAGAAATAGATATTTTTTTAAAACTCTCTACCTAAAAAATAAATTTCATATTTGGGCCAATAAACCAAAACATTTTGCCAATTATGCACAAACAAAGTGTCGAATGCACAAACCACACCTGATGAATGTATTTCATTTGAGAAATTGGTCACCTCTTGCATTCCGTTCACAATTGCACCACACTTGTTTAATTATTATCAGTGCGGGTGAAATAGCGAAAATAAGCATAAATCAATTGGAAACCATTCATTTCGATTAAGCGAATTGACCCATTTTTTTCCTTGTTTTGCATGAAATTTCACAATAGATTACATTTTAATTATTATTGCTGTGGTCAGCATTACTCTTACGCAGTCATCCACACGCGCATCCGCAGCATTGTGTGCTCTAGAGATGACAAAAACTATATATTGCGGCGGTGAATCGCATCCGTTTGATGCTGCATCTGAACTACATATCTAATATGTACAGATACTGTGGGCTGAATATATTAATTGATATTGCAAATATTTAACAGTTCCGGATCCACCGGCCAATGTAAAGGCGGCCGCACTGACAGCGGATTCAATTTTGATTTCGTGGCTTCCGCCAGTACACAAAAATGGCATCATCACAAATTACAATGTTTATTGCCGTGAAGCTGGCCGAAAGGGACAGGCAAAGAGTATGAAATTTTCCAATATCCCATTTGCTCTGAGGGCACCAATGGAAATGCTCACCCCCCAAATTCTCACCATCACGTTTCAGATCATTTGGTCAGAGTGGATGAAAATGGAAATCCAATGACTTTCGAGGCACGGAATTTGCACGAGAACCAAATGTACGAATTCTGGGTGTCGGCCACAACGGGAAGTGGAGAAGGCGAGCCCACGGCCGTAATTGCCCAGGCCACAAACACGAGAGCGCCAGCGAAGATAGCCTCGTTCTCCCAAACACTGCGCCGCGCCGTGGGCTCGAGTTTGCTGCTGGAGTGCCTGGCCGTGGGTAATCCGACTCCTCGCACCCGCTGGTTCACCAGAGACCGTCCAGTGACATTCAGTCCGTTCTACGAAGTCACCCCAGACGGCAATTTGAAAATCCACAGCATCGAGACGAGCCTCACGGGAAATTACACTTGCCAGGCGAAGAACCTGTTCGGCCAGGACGAAATTGTGTACACGATTGTAGCGATGAAGACCCCCAGTGCGCCCCAATTGGTCGTCCAATTCTCCACGTCGGACAGCATCCGGGTGACATGGGAGTCGCCCGACGACGGAGGGGCGCCCATTCAGGGCTACGTGCTCTCCTATCGGACCGGCGACAGTGGCTGGACGAGACTCGATTTCACACCTGAGCAGACCAGCTTCACCATCGCCGGTCTCAAGTGCGGCAATCAGTATATCTTGAAAATGATGGCCTTCAATCGGGTGGGCGACGGGCACAGCAGCGAGGAGATTATTGTCGGCACGAAGGGCAAAGGTAGGGATAATTGGCAAACAATGCCACTGCAAATTGCTCACGAGCACTCGATGGGCAGTCAGAGTTTTCTCTCATATCTATTAACAGTGTCTACAGCGCCCGAGGAGAAGGATTTTGTCCAAACAAATGCCACTTGTGCCAGCATAAGTCTCTCCCAGTGGAATAATGGAGGATGTCCTATCCATCATTTCTCCGTGGAGCATCGTCCACTTGGTATGTACGTTACTGACCTATGAATTTAACATCCTCTCCCCGAGCGCCTGCACTCAACAAAATCCGTCTCGGTCGGATTAGATTAGAGTCAGAGTTTTTTCCGCACTGATCTTTGACATTTATTTATTTATTATACTTTCCTGTGTCTCTATTATCAAAATTATCCCATGATCGCTTTTAATCCTCATGGAATTACTCGAAATCCCCACAGGATTTTCCCGAGTGTACTGATGTCTCTGTTGAATCTCAGACAATTCTGTCGCACACACTTTCCAAATTACGTCTAATACCATATTCCTGGTGTAGTACATAAATTATTCATGTGCGTGCTCTGCAGGAACAATACGTTGGACGGTTGTCAGTTCGGATGTATCAAATTCCGAGGAGAATCGCGAAAAATTGCTGTTTTGCGAATTTGCACCGGCAACATGGTACCAATTACGTGTCTCCGCAACAAATGACGCGGGTAAAACGGCGGCTCAATTCAATTTTGGCACCACCACCGTAGATGGGGAGCGAGTGGCTCCACCCGAGGTGTTCCCATCGGAGAATGACTTGTCCCATGAGACAGCCACAGCGTCCGGCCAGCGAAATGTTCTGCCGCTCATTGTTGTAGTCATTGCCATTATTATAGCACTCCTGTTGACGTGAGTAGATTATCATTTTATTCCTGTCGCACAATCATTATTAATTAAGGAGCAATTACCACGTGCGTGTTCATTTTACTAATTACCCTCGCCCTTTCCCACCCTGCGGGGCTACATGGACACCCCTTGCCGAATTTGCGGAGCAGAATGCTAATTCTGCGCCACAGAAGAGTCTTCTGCGGACCCTCAATGAGCGGCTATGAATCCAGGGCAATTCCGGGCGATATAAAGGAGGAGCACGACAACAGAAGGAACCAGCAAGTTTACTCGGCATCACCTGTTAAGACAGTTGACAAGGGAAATGAATCCGGTAAATGAATCACTCTTGAGTTTTATTGAACAACATAAAGAAGTGCACGTTCCACCTCAGCTCATTTATCAATACGTCTCCCACCCAGTCGTGTATTATACTCAGTTGTATATTGTGTGTTTTTCCGTGAAACTTCTCCCGCAGAAATGTACGAAATATCACCGTATGCCACCTTCAGCGTTGCTGGCGGAAGAACAAATGCCTCTGGTCAGGTGATGAATGCCAAAACACCTACACGTGGTGTCACCTCATCCACCTTAGACTACACCATGCAATTCAAAACGTTTGGCCATCCGGATAGTGATTTGAATGCCACAGCATATCCTGTGCTCCCCTCTTCCGGCTTTGGTCACGTGAAAGGGAAATCCAGTTGGCACAAGCAGCGATACTACAACACAGACGGTGGGCAAGAAGGAAGCCACTCGGATCAGGTGGTGGAGATGCTAACGTGATAATTTTATTCTCCCTTTGTGCAGATGAATCCACACTCAGCAAAAGCATGACAGTGGTGGCAGGAAGCAGTCAAATTCAACCCCACCGGATGAAGGGCAACAGGGAAAGTGGAAGTCACGATAGCCGACATATAAATAGGGGCAAGAGCCGGTCAAAGGAGAGTCGAGATGAGAGTGAATCAGACACGAGTATTAGCCCCATAAATGAGTTCTCCAACGCACCCACCTACAGAGTGCCCGTGAAGTCAAGAGGTGAGACCCGCTCTGAGGAGTGAAAAGGAAAAATTCTCACCTTTTCTGCATGATCTCCTCTCTGTCGGCAGATATGTTTCGCCCAGATTCCAGCACCGAATCCAACAATGACAACTCACCCCTCACTGAGCGCAGGAGCAACACGCCCAGGCATGTGTTGCAGCCGGAAGTGAGGAGTCGATCGCGACAGCAGGCGCCCATAAAGCCACGAGAGAGTCACTCGATGGATATGTTGCGCTCTGGAAGTAACAACAGGTAGTTCAGGTACCTGAATCCTAAATAGTGTTAGAAACTTTCCATGCATTGACAATTTATTTGCTCCTTTCCATGTGTTGGGAAATCTATCAAGTCTGTATTCGCGATCAAGTCTATTAAATTTAACATCTTAATTTTCCGTTTGCTTTCCTAAATGCACACTTTTGCACTTCAAAAGAATCCTCAATCGAATTTCAAAATAATTCATACCAAATCACAGTTCACAAATAGTTCTCAACAATCCCTCCAGTTATGTTTATGAGCTAATTCTATATTGTGGCCTCGGATGTGAGATCTGCCTAGTACGTGCACCCCTGCGGAGTTGCCTTCGGACTAAAGAGAAAGCCCTACCAACGCTGCACAAGATGCTAAAATATCGATTCCGTTCATATCCTTTGCGGAAATATCTGCACTTGAAATTGCCTGACGAGTTCGGTCATGAGAATTCTATGGTGAATTGCAAATTCCAAAATACCCATTGCGTTTTGTATCGGTGTTCTGTTTAGTCACAGTGGGCACTCCATCTGTTGGAATTCTGGAAGTGGTTTCGAGGTAATTACGATGAAATAACACAAATATTTCTCTTGCAGTTTCAACAGTGAGGTTATACTTGAGGATGGGCTTAAATTTCATCCACCAAGTGGGTTTACGGATTCACGTGAATTCAGCGAGGCGGAATGTGATAGAGAACGAGCTTTAGACTTAGAAGTACAAAGAGTAATGGAAAACAATGATATGCAGAAGGTGGAGAGAGAAGAGTTAACCTCACTGTTGGCCAGGTAAGAGGATTAAATTTTGCCTATTCTTGTGCTTTGGGAGGGACGATTATATCTATATAGAGTATGCATATATTTTCTTTTGATAAATATTCCATCAAGTATTATTTGTGGTATTTGATATGTATGAACAAAAGGCATATTAGATCATTTTGTCTGATGTATAGATGAAAGCTCAAATTTACATATCCTCCCATTTCTGGACTTACATCAAGGTACCACGAGAAGAAGGAAAAAGAACGTCAGGAATACACAATTCACGTATGAAAATTTTACAAACTTGTTTTCCACCTTGTCGGCTTCTCGGCGGAAGGATAGAAGGCGACAGAAGAAAAGCAATTTTCGCTCCAAACACATAAATTGATTATTCAATAAATTATAGAGCTCTGCAGGAGCAAAAATGCTAAATATTACAAGACACTTTGTGGAAGACAAGAGAGCTTTTTCTAGTGACTCCAAACCCACATTCAAACAGCAAAAAGTAGGACTTTCAACACAAGCGGTGACACATATAAAATCAAAAAAATGAACAAAGACGTGGATCTAAGAGAGAATCTCTTGGCAACAAAATATTAGCTGATGATATTGACTATTGACTTTTTGGGAAACGCATTAATTCCTACATATTGAAAGTCATTCTTTTTTTTTAAATGAAATATTGATGAAATATGATAAAATTTGTTGTAGATAATGAAGAATTTTTACATACTCACTGTTCTATATTTGTAAAACAATTTGTGATATTTGGAAAACTGTTTTCAACCAAAACACTGTAACAAGAGGAAAACATCATAAATTGCATCACAAGCGTATCGCATAAAGGCAGAATTCAAAATCTCATCTAAATGTGTATAATAGTAACAATCAATATTTGTTATAGTATGGTATATACAGTTGGTTGGAAAACTGATAGTTTGTCGTTGAGTTGCGGCCTGGAGTTGGCAGGGGGGTTTATTATAATTGCAAGGGTAAAAGCGACATTGGGGATGCTTTCCAGACTGCGTCTGTTTTCATTGTATGCAGAAAATTTAATTAAATGTTTAACATATCGATTTAACCGAATACGCGCAGACAACTTCACACAAACTTTATGTCGAACGTAATAATAAAACATGTTGTCGAACTCCCAGTGGATTACAACCCCTAATAAAATATGTCATGACACATGAAATTACCGCCAGATTAATAGAAATAAAACACTTATTGGCTCGCTCGCTCCGTGACATACAAGATTTTAACATTTTCCCATTCCTCAGCTCGCCACACCCATTTGATCCACATCAATATGCCAAAGGGTTGACACCATATAGACTAATTCTATAAGTATAATCGCGAGAGCATTAAGTTATGGAATCATATGGAAAAATGTACAAGGGATTTAATTTTATTCTCAATTTGTATAACTAAATGAAACAATAACAATAAACGATATTAATAGTGAACTCCATATTTTTCTCTCACTATCAATTGAAACTCTGTGCAAGAAATTAGAAATTCCGCAGATAATAATCATCAGTCAATTAGTGGAAGTTGGATAATTCTCCTTCCACGCTCTTGAAAGAGAAGTCATCAATAATAATGCAGAAAGTTCTTTGTTATTCGAGGAAATAATTCTCCTCTGAGATACGACAAGGAAAGATTTACGAGAAAACATTGAATAAAATTTTGAATTTCACAAACACCTACATATATATATATAGTTTCGGTTTCTCAACATTTCCACCTTATCTCCGGGTATTCGCGAGTCATTAGAGTGATAGTTTCCTCTTCGCAATGTCGAGTGTCGGAGGAATTGGATGGATTAAAGCAGATAGAATTGCTTTCTCGGGGTGAAAATCCAATATAAACACTAATCGGATCGAAGAGCAATAATACATTTTGCTTCATTGCATATTAAAAAGCTGAAAGAAACACCTAATATCCCTTCAGGTATTTTCTGTTTATCTTTCATTCACCTGCTCAAATATTTCTTGAGCTTCTATCTCATCGCCCCACTCCGCGGTTTCACCGTAATTCCACCCTGTCATTTCCCCTGAGATCCACAATATCATCTCTTTGAGGAAGTTTTCCTTGCAGAACATTTCCATCTCTATTTTAACATCGATGATAAGTTTACAACACTCATAATCAGTCGCTAAATTTCCAATTTTGTTGATTGAAAAAAAAATTTAGGGCTCAATTTGGTATTGATTTTTCACCTAATTACTATCCCGTGGCTTTTTCCCAGGAAAAGTCTTAGAACTGTGCATTGAATTCACATATCAATTTCAAAATGTCAAGTCCCGTGGCGAAGTGGAATTAAATATTCCGGACTATCCCAACCTTTAATTTCCTGTCTCTCACCCAGAATGTCTCTGGAGGGGATTCGCCACAATAGTTGCAATTTTCCATTTCAGCGCAATGATTCCCAGAGCTCGAAGGAACTCATTTGTCACAAACAAGGAGAATCTTCGCTACATGTCTTGGTGGAGGATCCCGTGAGGAGGATGAGCACACCGCCCAAGTCCATGTTGTATCCGGAACGGAGTTCTCTCTCTCTCATGTCTAGCGACTGCACGATAGGAGATAGAATGTGAACGCTGGGGCTGATTTTATACACCGAGAGACCTATATACTCAAGTTGTATGGGTGTAGGAGAGATTCGTATAAAGTTACCTCCCGTATTCACAAGTTGCTGCGAATTGTGACTTTTGCTTATTACATTTGGGACTTTGGGTATCGATCTGATATATCGGGAGTGGGTGGGAAATAAGGTGAGTTTCCAAAGCAGCCCAGAGAACACGAAGGGATAAATACAATCATTGGAAATAGGTTGTGGATGTAGCTGTTTAAATTGGCTTCTCCACCAGCATCAGAGGAGTTAGACAGGAAACGAATGTCATGATTATTTTTCGGTACAAATGGGATAAACAACAAGATCAATACGAGCCGTAAAGACGGGGATTTTTGGATGTATAAGTAGCGAACTGTATGCTTGCCATGTCGTGGTTCAAAATTTAATTACGATTTAAAATTGGTATTGATTTTGGCCCCAACTTTGTACTGGTATAACTTGGGCCAATTACATAAATTATAATTAAAGTCACACTTAATGAGATGAATTTTGCCGTTTTCAACTTTCCACTCACGACCAGTATAAATTCCCGAAAAGTACGGATATAGAAGTGACACACACTGGGGAGTCGGGATGCTTTCTGGAGCCAAAGTTTCATACCTCCATCACCACAGGAGGAGACAAATTGAAAAATGTGATGACTTCTCCCTGACATATAAGAAAATGGAATCCCAAACATACAAGCATATAGCGACAAACAATGCCAACATCGGGGAAAAAGAAGAAACATTTCATTTTGCGGTTCATCTTTCCTATGACACAGAAGAAAATTACTATTTTTCCTCCCTTTACAGCCAGGTCAGAGGCCACCCGTCTCGCAACTCTGCGTATACATTCAAGAAATTTTTGACATTCGCCATCAGAAAAGTTGCTCGCCCATCCACTCAACAAATAACCATTTTTTGCCACTTTCCCTGAGACTCAGCCTTGATGCTTGGGTGACTGATGGACAAGAGAGAAAAACACACCTTTTGTAATGTATAGGGAAAACCCTAAAATCACCCCTTCAGGCTAGTTTCCGAGCCATTGTTTTTGCCATTTTTCTGGACTATTTATCTTCAGTGGATCCATCTGGCTGATACACTCCAAGGAGCACACCAGCTCCAGCTCATATTCTTGAATATATTCAAGATGGACGCCATAAAGGAAAAATTGTTTTCCCTGAAATTCAACACCGAAAACAGAAGATTTATGTCACTCTTTGTATTGAATTTGCTTAGCGCCTAATTGAGCGTGTTCAGAATTCAGAAATGTGTGCATCTCACATTTTGTGGAAATCCTTTATATGGAAAGTAACGTTATTTGATTAGCGCTAATTCTATTTCATCGTTAAATGGATGTTGTTTGACTCCAGTTTCACACGTACATTGTGCTCGAGATCCGCGATGAAGAAATGGATTTCTCTGGGTGATACATTTTCAAAGGTAAGACGATATTTTCTTGAATTCGATTCTCCTCATCCATCGAGAGGCAAAGCCATTAACTTTGTTACAAGTTGATTGACTGTTGGGCTTCAATGTCGAGATGTGTGGTTGACGGTGACATTTAATCTAGTGTCCTGTCTTATGTGATCCACATACGTAAAATATATGTATGACGGGCGCCCACCTTGCCGCCACCCCGGGTGGTGGTCATTTCTGGCTAAGTGGTCACCGACCAACAAACCCGCTGATTCCGTCCGTCGCACACAAAGCCCACCAGCAACAATGGCAGCAGTATGGCTCCTTTGACGTCCCAGAAATCGAGGAGACATGGAATAATTATGGATTAATTGTAATCCCCATTATATCGCCCATTATTGTGGCATCTGTCTGGTCTGTGAGCTGCCATGTTTTCACCCCCGCGCGGCTGCCCAATTCATGACTCTGTGCTGATGTGCTGGATGGTGATGTATTGTCGAGTCATCGCAAAATTGCACGAAGCAGGCAAGATTCAATGCGAATGAATGGGAGCCTCATCCCAAGAGTCGCTCAGGCGAATTCAAGATACACAGACCCGGACATTCTCTCGTGAGATGCTATAGGTCAAGCGGTCACTAGAAATTATCACTATGGGGATAGTGTTTCAGATGTGATGAGCATTAGCCCCGAATGTAATGCTCTCCCCCCTCCCCCGCCCTCCTGCGCACTCTGTCTATGACCTGCAATTGAACTCATGTGTGTGAATTCACATAAATACACAATGATTTATATTCAGGACAGGATGTACAACTGAGAGAGTTGATTCAAATTGAACCGCCCACTTACCCATGCACATATATAGCATGGGAAAAACTCAACAGATTTTGCGGGTAATCCAATAAAAAGGTGGATTACTTCCGTCTCATGAGCAAACCCCTTACTCTCCTGGGGTGCCATGAGCCACCGACATTCTCATCAAATTAAAATCCCACCATCACATTTCCAGTCGCTGGGAATTTACATAACATTTTCGGTGAACCTCACGTTTTCATCACATGCAAATATAAATATTTTTTCCGCCACTCAATCCAAGCCATTCACACTTTTTGCCCAAATTTACATCAATTTGCATAATGAAATAATAAGCTTTCACGCGTCTCATGAATATTTTTCACCACCCCGGAAAATGCGTCACGCCAAAAATGTGTAGAATAGCAGTGGAAGTAGATGAAGTTGATGAGTTTGGAATTTTCCCTTTACATTTACCCAGGCGAATTTCTCAAGATCCTGGACCCGAGAATAAACAACATTTATTCCAGGTCATCTTGGTTATTAAAAACGTGGTTTGTTCCGTCCGGAAAATAAATCTCCGCAAACACTTCAAATGGTTTTACAAATCAGCGCAACGTTAACGCATAGTGAATATCGTGTTAAATCATTTTTGATTGTAGTTTACAACATTGTTGTGCAAAACTGGGGATTAAATTTCCGTTTGTGCAACCCAAAGTGTATAATTCAAATAATAATTTCCGGCTATGAATTGGGGATGTTTCACAATTCAATGGCGACGGTTGGAGTCATCCTGATAGTTGAATAATTCCTGGTATCATCGTTTGAGTGTTTGAGCACTGATGACCTGGGTAAGTATACCTCGACATACGTATGTACATAGTACATCAGATAATCGGATTGGGAAACGGGTAACTGGAAATTGTGAATTCAATTATTGTCTGCAGGAAGACATTGAGAAGCAATCATGAGCTGCACTTTATCTCGCAACAACACAGTGTAAATATTTGGTAAACTCATTTCACGCGTTTTCTTCTAATGAAATTTCGCATTTATATGCAAACAATAAAATTGGTTGCATGAAAACGTCTCTTCTGGCATTTCACTAATGAAAGCTCCAGTCTCCACAGTTCAAATGCTCTCTCTCCCCCAAAACATTTCAATATATCGATGCAGTCAGAAGCTGAAAATTAGATTCGAAATTGGATGACGATGGTGGAAAAGTTGGGCTGAGGAATTAAATCGATAAATTCACACATAGCCTTTGGTTTGATTGTGCCTCCAGTGGACTGTGGCGAAATGGGTTTATAGTGTCCAATACATCGGCCACCGGATGTACACAAGAAGCGAGCAGGAGGAAGACTTCACTGTTTGGTCTGTTTGCGATAAAACCAACGGGGGAATCCAGTCAGTCAGAGCTTTTTTCGCCCTATTGCTATTTAGATCTCCTCTTTTTAACATACCTACATATCAGCCCCGACCGTGCTTGAAGTACTCGAGGTACAGGGGCGAGAAAACTCTTTCATTTTATGTGTTTTATGTTTCTTCTTTTAAAGGCAACACACAAAAGGTACGATGGGAAAGGACAAAAGCAGAATATATGGTGTGAAATTGAATTAGGTTTTTCTCTCCCACAGTG